GTCAAGGCAGCTTACATCAAGATAAAGTCTCCAAATGTAAAAATGGTCAAAATAGAAATTGTAGAGGACATCTTAAGATTTCCAAAAAGTATAAAATCACCTTCAAAATATGAAAATTGAGCAAGTTATGAGTTGCACAAGTTGGAAAATTTTGAGGAAATACATGAAATGCAAAGTGAGCAAACTTGAAGTTTTGAACTAGTGGGTCTAACTTTTGATGTTCAATAATGTTCATAAGGTGTTAGAGGACCTCTAAATCTGTTTACATATTTTTTATGATTTTTATTTCTTTTATTTGAATTTTTATTCATTTAAATACAAATAAAATTAAATAAAATATGAAACAATCGTATAAAGGCTTGGGCTTTTTATTTCAATCATCCAAAGGCCCAAGACAACTCATGACAACTCATTACAACATGCCAAATTCGCGGGGACTCAATAAAAGGGAAGAAATAACTTAAATTGGCAAGTTTTCAAAAATTAATTATTGTTTAAACCATGGCTTCATGAGTTGATTCCATGCCATATTTGTTAGCCCAAATACAAGCCAGCAACATGTCCAAATTCATGCAAGGCATCCAAGAGACAAGAATCATGCAAATAAGGCAAGTTTTCAATGTGTTGGAATATTGATTTCATGGGCATGAATGCCTTGTTCCTTTCCATACTTGTTGGCTCCTATTTCATTCTCTATATAAAGGCAAACAAAGGCAGAAGAATGACCACAAAATCATTTACACCAAAGCTCTCCAAAAAGTTCTCCAAATTCAAAGAAATTTTGAAAATCATATCTCGCATCTCCAGCGGTTTTCAAATTGATCCAAATATTCCAGTGTCCTCTTAACGTTTCCAGGAGTCAGAATCAACCATTACCCTTCGCAAATCAACCCCAGAAACCACCCTCACATCAACTCCGGTTGGTAAGATTGGTAGGTTTCATTTTCTCAAGATTTTCATTGTTTAAATCCTTGTAAGTATGCTTATTCCATTCATATGTATTTCCTGAATTTTTCTAACGTTTTACATGTAAGCATGGTATATATAATGCTTTGACCTTCAAAAATATTGAATAATGAAGAAGTTATGATCGTTTGAACTTGATCTTGCAAAAAGTTGACTTTTGGTCGAAGTGCTTTGAATCAACTTGCAAACTTGATCTTTCCTTGCATTCCAAGGCATATTGATGCACATGTGGACCAGTGATGATGAAATCTCGACTGTACTTTTGAGAATCGATGATCCATCATACTTGAACACTTAAGGGATCCAAAACCCTAATTGAGGTGCAACACTTGACGCTCTTGATTCAGACATGTCTCTACATATGAAACTAAAGAACAAACATACACCTTTGTATTTGATTAGATGTTAGTGATGCATACGATAAGATGTTCGCAACACTTGATAATATATACATAAGCAATGCTCGAAGGTGAGCGGATTAAAAAAAATGGTATCTCGTGACCTTGATGCTTTTATAAAAATGCAAATGAAGGTGGGATCTTAGGTCAAAAATTTGGGTATGACACTCTAGGCCTTGTTTGGTTTCAACGTGTTCTAGGCTTCAACGCCTACGCCCTTGGAGTGACTAATTCCTAAGAGGGGTGTACCAATTGTGATGCGACGAATAATGTTTCTCGTCCTTGTTTCTACTAAAAAATAAAAATGTATATTTCAAAGAGTATCGTATTTATTATAATCAAAATATCACCCGGGTGTAAGAAGTTACACTTTTTCTTGCAAAAGTAAATATGTGATGCTTAACTATAATACTTCTTGAGCTTCGTTGTGTTCCGTGTACGAGGGATGGATTTCCCAGTTGAATCTAACTTTGTACGAGCCTTCCTAGGTAACTGCTAACTTTCTATATATGACATTCCTTCCTCCTAAATTAATGCATCTTAACACGAGACTGACTAGCTCGAACTCCCGGGGTTTCACTCGCTTGTTGTATTTAGAAGTTGTTTCTTGCTTTATAATTGTGCTCAACCGGGTGTTGGTAGTCCTTTTTTTCCCTAACAAATCTATTTCTCCTCTGATTGCATTGGATTTTCTTCTTCAGTCAAGGGACTGTTGTCCTCAAGCTAAGTTCTTATACTTCGATGGGAAAGACAACTTTTGTTCCATAAGTTAATTAGAAAAGAGTCTCTCCAGTGGTTGGATGGGGCGTGGCCTTGTGCCCAAAGGACGCGTGGAAGTTCAATCACACAATTCTCTTTAGCGATTTATAACCTTTGTTTCAATTGTCTAAGAATTACTAGATTTGTAGCTTTATCTTGTCTATTTATTTGAGGGTGTTCAACTGATGTAAATTGTTGCTTAACATTCAATTCTTCCAAAAGACTTTTAAACTTCCTGTCAGTGAACTAGGTTTCGTTATTTGTAATGACAACTTGAGGAATCCTATATCGTGCCAGGATGTTCCTTTTGAAGAATTTCAAAATATTTGTTGTTATGATATTTGCTAACACCTCTACTTCTATCCATTTTAACAAGTAATCTATTGCTCTACAGTTAGGAACTTAAGTCGTCCTTGCAGTAAGATTGGTTAGTTATTTGTATTATTTGTTGATCTTATGCTATTTTTTGCTTTGTACTGGTTGTATTTTAAAAATTTTGGGCTTTGTGATTTTTGTACGTACTTATGTGATTTTTCAACCCCTTTTTTATATATTATTTACCATTATAATATTTAATACTTATAAACCAACTTTTCCCTTACTTATCCCTTATCCTTAATTGTTACAATTTTATTTTTATTTTTTTATTAATGAATTATGTTTCAACTTTTGAACTTGAATATACATGATAAAATACACTCTATAAATTATTTTTTTCTTAAATAATATGTTGGTCCTTGTAAGTTAGCGTGTTTTTTATTTTAGTCTTTAATATGTTTTTTAAGAGAAAAAAGGATATATACTAACAACGTAAAGTAATGTTACACTGTAAATCAATCACCATCATGCATTATGCCAAACCACTAGAATATTTTTAAGTTAATTGAATGACACGATAGAGTAAAGAATTCTTATTGGTTGACCGTGTAAAACTCTTTTACACCGTCATTGCACTATCTTTAATCTCTTTTTTAAAATAGTTTTTGAATGTTAATTTTTTTTATTTTAGTCTTTAAAATTAAAATCGGCAGAAAATTAACCTACTTTAGATCCGTAAATTTACAGAAAAATTCATAGAAAACATGTAGATTTTTTTATGGATTTTGAATTTAAAGATTAAAACTAAAAATATTTAACATTCAAAGACTATTTAAAAAAAAGATATTAGAGACTAAAAACAAATACACACTAACTTACTGAGAACAAAATACTATTTAAACCATTATTTTTTCCAAATTTTAAATTGTACTTCTCAATTTCAACCTCCACGTTTAATCCTCTAATTCACACCTATTTAAATGTCTCATTTTATTTTAACACGTGATTTGACTAAACTAAAATAACTATGAAAGTATAGAACTCAAGAACATATAGATAAGATAACATGTAAAAGAGTTTGTTCAATTGAATTTGGACATGCACCGCGATATTGCAATTCTTAAGAAGAATTTGTCATGCATTAAATCTAATAAAACTTAAGTGAGCAATCTCTAAGTTGTGCACAACACATATCATGAAATAGAAAAAAATAATAATAATAATTCTTAGTAATAAAATTTAGTTTTGATAAATTTTCAATGTAGAAATTAGAGTTTAATTTTGATGAAACATAAAAGTTAAATGTTTTATAAAGCCATCAAAATTACAATCATTTTGATACATGTGAACGAATTTAAAAGTAAGTATAATTAAAATCAAATTGATTTATAATGTAGAAGTTTTTACCTTGAATGAATTTAATCCATAATATGTTTTTTTTTACAATTCATAATATTTTTAAATTTAATTGAAATATATTAATAGTATAAAAAAGTTTTATACTATCAATAAATTATAATCGTTAAGTTTTTATAAATATTATTTTTTTTAATTATATATAAAATATTATTTATAAATAGTTGTAATGTACTAAGTGTGTAAAATATTTTATACTATTTTTAAAAATTAAAATAATATTCTTAAATATTATTTTTAGTCTCTATTAAAAAATAATATATTTTGATTCTATAAATTTTTTATTCATGCAGTTTAGATTCTTCCTATTTTTTAAAATTTTAAAAAATTATTATTATTTTTAAGTTTTTGAATTTTTGAATAATTTTTTTCATACGTATTTAAAATATATAAAATGTTTCTTTTACTAAAATATAAATTTTTTTAAAAATGAGATAAATTAAATATAAATTTTTTAAATTTTAAAAGATATTGATAAAAATAAATCACAATCTCAATTGAAAAATTAAATTTTGAATTTTTTTTGTCGAATAATTTTTTATAAGTTTAAAATATCTACAAAATAATAATTCAAAAATACACATATGTTAAACAACCAAAATTAAAACTGCATATATAATAATTTTATAAGAGCTAAAACATGTCATACTTTTTTTATAGGGATCAATAACAAAATATGATAATTTATAAGGAGCAAAAATACATTTAACTCGATCTAATTATAACAAATATTTTAAACTCAAGAACACTTGAATAAGATATTAAAGTCTATTTTCTCTTAATCGAGAATGTTGAGTTTAAATCCAGACATAAACTCGATATCCAATAGTGTTAAATTTTTAAAAAATAAATTTATTATCAATTATAATCTTATACGACTCGAGAGATTAATTTCTACAATTATATGTAGAATATATGCGTTTATACTACGAAATCATTTTTATATTAATTATATTGCAGAGATACATTCATTGATAAATTTAAAAAGTAAAGTAATTAATAATTATTTTTTAAAAAGTTTTCAAAGTTTAAAATAACCACTTAAAAATGAGACGAGGGAAAATAAAAGCGCACTTGGTTCTTATTTGTGGTTTGTCATAAATCATAATCATCGTTGGGTTCTTCTTCCTCTAAACGCATCAGATGGAAAAAAGTATTATACATCAAATCATTTTCAGGGCGGTTTTTGACAGAGCAACATTTCAAGAAGGCCGAGTAGAGGTTCTTTCTTTTCAACTTTAATCCAATTTCTTCGCCTTTCCATTGTTATTCAACTTCCCCCAAAATCTTTGAGTTTTTGTGCTTTAATCCATTCTCAGCATTAAGTTTCTGTTACTTGTAGATTTTTCTGATAGTTGAATTCCGGTTGGAATATGTGGAATGATCAATGTTTGAGTTGAAATTCTGTTGATACTTGCATAGCAAGAATCAAGAATTGTGAAAGAATTTCAGTGAATTTTTTTATAACAAGAATCAAAGTTTGAGTCTGATGACTAGTAATGAAACCCTAGCTTTAGGCCTTTGAAATTGGGCAATCTTTGAATTTAGGGTATTTGCAATCAAGGTTTTAAGTAACGATCGCGTTGAGGTTGCATAAAGAATTTCGCGATTTCGGTTGGTATCTGTGTTGCGATGCTGATTGCAGTCGTGGTGGTGTGAATTAACCGAAATTTGTTCTTTATTACAAAAACGGTGAATGACGCTATTGGTATCGGTATTGGCACGTACCAATACCGTTTTGTCGTTTTTGTTTTCACTTGTGGTTTTGTTGAGAGAACAAGTTTTGTTTCCTTTAATAAGTTTAGCGTTAAAGTTTACTTGTGGTTGTTTATATTCTCTCCGGATCATTAATGTGAAAGAACTGAATTTTGTTTCAGCTATATTTAAAAAAGCAATATGCTGCTGACACTTTGGACCACTATTCAAGATTTGTGATTGCAAGGGTTGGAGCTAGGACTCGGCCGTGTGATTTGCGGTTGCATTTGATGAAGGTTTGAGACAAAATTCTGTGTTATTTTCTCTTGAGGAATAGTACTGCTTCTGTTGTTCTGTCATTTGACATTTCTATATGGCAGATAAAGGGTTTGTCTTGAAAACTAGCATGTTCATATTCTCGTTGTTCCATGCTCTCTAACTTTACATAGTTATTATGATTATTTTCAGGAGATTTCAGGTATGCCAACTTCTCTAAATAGGGAAAGAACACGTCCTGCAGTGTCTCCTGAGACAACCAGCGAGTCGTCCAACGAGTCGTCCTCCAGCTCAGGAACAGAAGCAGTGGATACGGCAGACAGTTTTCTGGTTTTATAGTTGATACTTGACAGTGGATGGGCTGAATTATGTCATCTATGTGGCATATTGGTATAGATAATAATGCAGCTGTTATTTTCATTTCAAGTTTTATGGTATTGTTTGATCAAAGGTAGGATAAGGCTTCGTAGTTGATGTAGTTTGAATCAGATAGCAATGTATGTGTTGATTCAATTCAAGTTGAATTTGTTAAACTTTCAGTTTTAGTCATTATCTAGGATCTTGGAAGATCAAATTCAGATTATGTGGCTCACTTGAAGAATCATTCTTTGTTCTTGGTTATGAGGGAGGGGGTCTCTTTTTCTCTTGCTGGATCATTTTGGCAGCATACTGGTGAACTGAAAGGAGTTACTGCCTAGCTTTTGTTAGACTAAAATCTAACTAGACTTTTTTTAATTTAAATAAAGAATTTCTTTTTAAATAGATTAAACCTTTTTTAAGAGTTCATCTAGCTTTAAAAAATCATATTACAAAGACTTTTTCAACAGTATCATATTCATACTTCTGCCATAATAAATTATAAGTAAAAACAAATTCATTTATAATTTATTACAGAGAAAATATATGTTAAAAATTCTGGTTGACAATTTTCATTTTCTCATGAAGTTATAGTTTACTTTTACTTATATATAGTATTTTTGACAAATTAATTTAAGTAACTCATAACTTAGTGTTTATCATTTATTTTTTCAATTTTATTATTTATATCTCAATTGGAAAAAAATTAATATTAACTAAACATATTTTTTTTTAAAGTCTTTTTTTTTTATAAGTTAGTTCATATGTTAAAAAAAATTATGAAATAAGAAACACGTCATAAGTCCAATCAACTAGATTATTTGTTATTGATAATTATTTAATTTTTTTTTATTAAAAGAGGGTTTAAAGTCCAAGAAAGAGAAAATTACACTGCTCATATGCTAATCTATTTGTTTCCCGGTACGAATGATTAAGAATTACTTCCTAATCAATGTCTAATAATCTCCATATATCTTCAGTTATAGATCTCTAAAGAGTAATATTCTCCCGACTCATAACAACATCTATCACGTCTTTAGAATCTAAACAAATCTTCACCTTAGAAAAATGCATACTCCAAATCAACTTGAGGCCACAATTACTTAATTTAAAAACTCTCCATTATAAGTTCACTCTGTATAAGTTAACTTATCAAGTATTCATTTTCTTTTATTGCTAAATTGAGTCTAACTTGACCCACTTAACAAATATAAATCATAATTTTGTATTATTTTTATTATATTATATTTGGATGGGTTAAATTGGTATAAACGGTTAATTTATGGTTCAGTTCTTGACACACATATTTATTTATATTTATATATTAATGTAAATAAATTGTTAATATTTGTTTCGTTGAGGAATTAGAATTGATGAGGTAGGTCCTAATGACGATGGTGCTCGCAGCTCCATTATGGTGGTAGAGGTGGACCTGCAAAGTTAGCACATCAACGCCTAAGTTAGTTTGTGAAATCACCTAAAGTGGAGTAAAATTTTGAAAAAATGAATCTTTTCTCTGTTTTGGCGCGAAAATGAGATATTTATAAGGTGAATAAGATTGAGCCTTTCTAATCCTTTTTAGGCTTTAGGTCCGGTCCAAAATAATTGCCCCCAAGCTTGCAATACTGAGAGGCATGATGAGTCTTCAAAATCTGGTCAACGACTCTATACGTATATTCACGCGTGGATAAGTGGAAAGGTTCGAGAAACATCCTTATTAAATGTTTATCTAATCATTGAAATGTTTCGCTAAACATTTATGCGAGACTCTAGGTAATTAGGCTAGGGAGTAGCGCGTCTGTCTAGAAAATTTGAATACACTTAAGTATATTTATTTCCTCGAGGAGGTATTTTGGCCCGTTGGATCATTGATATGACATTATTCCATGATTCTGTAATGTTTTCCCTCCCTTTATATAAACTTTCTTTTGGGTTTCCTTATAACTTTTCAGTTTCCTTCTTCTTCTTTCTGTCACTCATGTTCGTTCATTATGTATTACCCTTAGGTGATTCTTGCTTCCAGTTGCTACTTCGCTTGCTTGAGTGTTTGCGCTGTCACCTTTCATTACTAAAACAGTTTTCTTCGCTCAATCTTCTTCCTTTAGGTACCATTTCTTCTTTACCTTTCTACTTTTTTGCTATTTTTATATGGATGACCTAGGGGTGTGCCTTTGAATATAAATGGAGATGGTGGGGGTGATTATCATATATCATTTTTTATGGAAACCCCAACATTTCAGATGAGGATCCACCAGAAGTTAATGGTCTCATTCTTAATTTGATCATTCTTAGCAATAATTCTAGGATTGGGGGAGGTTTCGTTGAGAATGGAGGTGGCCCTCCCAGTCCTTTTGACGGGAATGAGGAGGAAAACTCACACACTCCAATTTATATGGAGGTCGTTGTATGCTTAATTTCTTTTGTTCGTTATCATGAAGAGATGGAGGTGACAATTGTTTCTCATTATGAGATAATTACCCTTTTTTTTAACTTTCAGTGTTGCTAGTGGCAGAGAACCCACTGAGGAGGAAATTATGAAACATATCCTTTTTAGGAACAACAATCCAACTTCTGACAGACTTTCTATTTTATGTGACAGTTGGGACCACATGGTAAAATGGTGACGATCCGTCTTAGTTCAACCTCTGGATTTTGGAATTTACAGTTGGGTTGATCATGAGCTGGTAGGGACCGTTTCGTATATGGTAATTCCAAAAACTTGGAAGATGTTCGTATAGAGGCGGTTGCACCCTCTAATTGGGAGGTTTCCCATATTAATGAGGGAAAAAGAATCTACAGTCACTATGACGAGTGTGTTATCCCTTTCTATGATTTTCTTTTTACCCGGATGAAGTTCATATTACCTTTCACTGCTTTCGAGTAGGGCTTGCTAAATCACTTGTCCATATCACACTCCCAACTTCATCCATTTGCATGAGCTTTTGCAAAAAAATCCAGTATTGGTGTGAGTATCGAGGGGGGTGTCGTCTGTTCAACTTTTCTTTAATTTTGTTTCTCATATCCCGGACTTCAAAGGGCTCTGTTTGTGGTCAGGGAATTGTTTTTATTTTCCAATTGAATCAAATGTGTGGTGTATACATGGATAGTTAGAAAATTTTAAAGACCGCTATATCTTGGTGACTCCCTTGAGTTCGAAGGCTTATTTAGTCTTCTGTAAGGTTAACAAAGAGACTCTAGCCCCCTTCCTCTTCCTCTCGATGCCAATAAAAGTTTAGGAAGCACAAGTCTTGGGACCATTTTGAACGAGAATCTCTCAAGTATTCGTTTGCTAATGATAAACTTACCCCAGGCGAGGATTCGTTGAAGAAGGACTTAGTGTCCTTTTGGGAACATCTAGTTTACGAGGAGGGGGAAAAGTCTTGAAAAAGTAGTGTCTATGAAACAGTAAAGGCGAGTTATTAATTCTTGAGGTATCTTGGATGCTTCTAATTCCGAGGAGATGAAGGAACTTTTTGTGAGGAGGGGAATTTTTTGTTTTTTTGTTGTGGAAATTAAATATTTCTCTCTGTTTGCAAAATAAATGGTGTATCTTAGGAGCCTTTATGAGAGGAGGAATGTTATAGAAGCTATTAATTCCTTTAAGATTATTCCTTATTATGGTCCTTCTCAGTAGGTATTTAAGCAACCATCCCAGGCTTTTGTTGAAGGCCGATTACTGGAAGCCGGAAGTATGAATCTAGAAAGCTTTAGATCTTCAAAAGGAAATAAGACCCATGGTTCCCCATCCGACTTAGCAGCTACGATCATCGATTCACAAGGGAAACTGGCTTTAAAAAAATAAGGCCTTGGAAGAAGCTAATGCTTCTAGTATGGAATTGTCATCCAAAGTGGCCGCTTATCAAAAGGCTCTGAAGGAGGAACACCAGTCTTGTCAGAAGTGGATAAAGGAATACACCACTATTGTCGTCGAGGATATTCAGGGAGCTCTCGCTGATTTTCACTAGGCAATTGAACTAGTCTGGATTCTCTGCCCTTGAAGCCAGATTACACTAGAAAAAATGGACCTGAGGAAGAAAATCATAGACATTGAAATAGTCAGCAATGACAAGGAAGAGATTGAGGACGAGGACAAGAGGGAGGAAGAGGAGAAATATGGTGAGGATATGTGATGTTCGTAATTCTTTTGTAATTCTTGAATTTTGTAGTGTTTGGATAATTTTGTTATTTGTCTGGTTTTTCAATTTCAAACATTATTTTTCTTTCTCTCTTATTTTAATGTTCTTCCTCTCGTTTCATTGCTTCGTTGTTTATGTTTCTTGGAATTTTTATTTCGCTGGACATAGTTGTTACATTCTTTGATGTCATTGATGACCATACTCGGCCAAAGGTAGGATCCTCTTATTTTTCGTAGGTCTATGCCTCATTTTCTTTCGACGTGTTTGAGGCTTCAATGTCTACGCCCTTGGTGTACCAATTGTGATACAATGAATAAAGTTTCCCATCCTTGTTTCTACTAAAAAATAACAATGTATATTTTAAAGAGTATCGTATTTATTACAATCAAAATATCATATGGGTGTAAGAAGTTACACTTTTTCTTGCAAAAGTAAGTATGTGATGCTTAACTGTAATACTTCTCGAGCTTCGTTGCATTCTATGTACGAGGGATAGATTCTCCGGTTGGATCTAACTCTCTACAAACCTTCCTAGTTAAGTGCCAACTTTCCATCTATGACATTCCTTCCTCCAACGTTAATGCGTTTTAATACGAGACTTCCTAGCTCAAAATCTCGGGGTTTCACTCGCTTTTTGTATTTGGAAGTTGTTGCTTGCTTTACGACTGTGCTTAACCAGGTTATGGTACTCCATTTTTCTCTAACAAATATATTTCTCCTCTAATTGCATTAGAATGTTCTTCTTTAGTCAAGGGCATGTTTTCCTCAAGCTAAGTTCTTATACTTCAATGGGAATGACGACTTTTGTTTCATAAGTTAGTCGAAAAGGATTCTCGCCAGTGGTTGAGTGAGGTGTGGCCTTGTGCCAAAAGGACATGTGGAAGTTTAACCACACAATTCCCTTTAGCAGTTTCTAACATTCATTCCAATCGTCTAAGAATTACTAGATTTGTAGCTTCATCCTGTCGGTTTGTTTGAGGGTGTTCCACTGATATAAATTGTTGGTTTTTGATTTATCATCTGTTTTCTATTATATGTAGATTCTGGTTTAAGATGTTGAACATATTTTGTTGGACATTTGCTCCAAAATCTATCCCCGTAAGAACAAAATTTCACCTTGCTTAATCTATTATTCAAGTCACCTCCCTTAAACTAATTCTGCCTTGAATTTACTAATTCTGCCTTGAATTTTGTCAAATCATGTTTTCTTTGTAACGTAAGTTCTTCCACACACTGTTTGTTGCCATAAACATTTTTCCCATTATCTCTATAATCATTTCATCACTGTTGACTCCTAGAAGCTCATAATATTCACTTAACTCTTTGACATCTTCATCCACCTTCAAGTCTATCCACCCAAACACTTCTATATTCCACAACCTTAACCTATCTCTAAGCATCTTAAGTTTCTCCTCAATCACATAGGCACTTCTACCTAGAACCTTAAATGATTTCCATATATCATCCATAAATTTGACAGATTTTTATGGTCAAACCAACAGTTGTTGACTCTAAAAGGTTTTGGTCCCCAATTAGAGTCATTTTCCTTGATCCATATAGGAAAATGGTCAAAGATATCCCTTAGTCCAATATACTTCCTCGCCACATTCCATCTTGATAGTAAATTTTATGAGAACATGAACTATCTAGTCTACTCATAGAGCTTCCCTCACCACTGAGCCAAGTGAATTTGCTATCTATGAAGTCTTTAATAAACTTTATGATAATTCCATCTCTTCAATGAAGTCCTATAATTCATGCATTTATCCTCTTCTTCTACACTCACTTAGTCCGTTTCTTTCTTTGCTACTTGTTACAGTATTAAAGTCACCCTCAATAAACCAATATGCTATATTAGATTTCCTTTTGCCTCTAATAACTCTTCCCATAACTTTTTTTTGTATATTGTACAAGGAATATACATTTACAGTGTAGTATGACAATCCCTTCCAACCTACATTGATGCTTAGAAACCATTCACCTCTAAAATTAAAATTTAGAGATAACAATCTCACCCATCATATAATTAGCATTCCTCCTGACAACCCTTGAGCCCAAATTATAGACCATTCAACATCACTACTACCCTAAATACTACATATCATATTACTATCTACCATTTCCAATTTTGTTTCTTGTATTAAACCTATATCTTTCTTACCAAATTGGATTATTTGGTTAAGCCTCTTCCTTTTGACCTTATTCCAGCCTCATCTGATATTGAAATATAGGAAATTCATTGGTCCTTTCGGTTTACCATCTTTCTAGCCTTTTCCTCCTCCTGGTATCTTGATTCGATCCTTCTAAATGACTCCTAGTAGACTTCATTTCTCTTTGTACCAATTATTCCCAATTTCATGATAGTTTTCCATATTTTCTTGACCATATGCGACTCCATTTTTACCCAGAAATGCATGTTCCCTTGAATCACATCAAAACTCGTGGTTGACTCACAACAAAGGATGGACCACCTGAGCATTGTTCTTTCATCCCCTTCACATGAGATGCATGTTTAGTTTATTTATACCTTTGATTTTGATGAACAGAGGATTGAGAAGTATGAGAACTTCATGATCCCTGAATCCTCAAACTCATCTAATTACTTCAACTCTTCTTGGATTTGGCTCACATGGATTATACCCCTACAGATTGATCCATCAACTAAGGATCTAACTAAACTTGAAGAATCTTTCCTCTTCTCTACACCGTCTTGAGATGTTTTTGGCCCAAATAAATCTATTTAGGCCCCACATCCTTTCAACTCAACTCCAACACCATTATCCTAGTATTAACACTCATCCTAGAACATTCTTACTATTTCTGTGTAGAAAAAATATCCGGCCGACTTCCTAGGAGGTAACTAGGAAGAGCCTACCGGAGAGAGTTTATGAGTTGATTGGGGGATTTGGGAGCTACGATAGTGATGCGTGTGTCCCAAGATGAATCTCTTTCTTATCCATCATGTGGGAGCCCCTTTATATAGTGAATGTCTCTGACTCCATCAAGAGCCTCAATAAATGAGGGACTCTTGAGTTCCAAAACCGTGTAACCACCACCGCCTCCATGAATGAAGATGATCAGTGTTGTGTAACGTAGCATTAAATGTGCCTCCGGCGGTTACATGCTTTAATGGTTCGGGAAGGTGATCGGTTACGAGCAGGCGCTACCCGATCATCTTCCTCATTCGAGTTAACGACGAAGGCGAGCTGCTACCCGAGCTTATGAGGTGTCCGATGTCCCCTCAGCTGGTTCAAACCCCAGGTATCTTCACCTCAATTTGTTTACCAGTTCATCCTTCTTTGCTTGCCGATTACACTACCCGGTAGGGCATTTTATTTTTGGGATGCACACAAGCCCCCCGAGTTCAAGTCCTCTCTTCGTGAGGACGTCGTATTCGGCCACATATTCATGGAAGGTAACTCAGGAGTTATCGGGTTACTACCTTTTTCTTGGCCCACATGTCACAAAACAAAGATTCACCATTTTCTCTTTCCTGAGACAATGATGACTCCCACCTAAACTCATGTTCATTGGGCGATGCTCCTCATGCCTAGTGTACTATTCACTGAGCTCTATTAAAAGCCATATTTCCTTATTTCCTTTTCTATCTTGGTAATTGCATAAGAAGACGATTTATCTTTGCAAATAACTTTTTTACTATCCTTCAAGCATCCCTTCCTTTTCCAGGTATTTCCTCTTTTACTCCTTCATTTACGTTTTTGCCTTTTTTAGACTATGGCTGTTTTGAGAGAGTATGAAGATGATGGAAATGTTGTGAAACCCTATAGTGAAGAAAATAGGAGAGAGTTATGAGATCAGTGCATGCAAGAGATGAGCGGCGCTCTAGGTTAGGAGGAGTTTAATAAGGTCACCCAAGAGGTCTGTGGTTTTACCATTTTCTTCTTTGAGTGACTCTGGCCTTGATTTTTCCTCCTCAGGTACCGTAGATCTTCTGATGGCCACTTCCTCCCCTTTTGACACTAAAGTCATGGCTTACAAGAACATCGTAATCAATGATACAAATATTTCCAAGATTATGTCCTTGATGAGAGTCTCCTCGACTGGAGAGGAGAGCAATGTTATCCTGGAGTCGTGTGTCCCAGGGGATTGCATGTGTGTGCTCCGTCGGAAGGATACTGATGAAGACTTATTTTATTTCTACACTGGGGTTTTGGAGGATTTTCAGGTCCGTATACCCTTTCCGAATTTGAGGTTGACCTCTTGGAGGCTATGAATGTCGCGCCCTTACAGCTTCGCTCTAACAGTTGGGGTTTTATAAAGGCCTTCAAAATTGTTTGTGAGGTGATGGACATCATTCCTACTGTCGGTATGTTCTTCTCTTTATATAAGGTGAAGGGGGGGGGGGGTCGAGAAGCTTTCATGGATTCAGGTGAATGGCCTTCCTCATAGAAGCTTACTTCAGGTGTATACCTCTAATTAGAAAGATTTTAAGGATCGGTTTCTGAAGGTGAAGTGTGGGATGAGGATACCCCAAGTGTTGTATGCTTTGGGCGGGCATCCCTGTTTTCCCTTCTACTAGACCCGAGATCCTTCTCTCATATCTGGATTCACTTTTGAGAAGCTGAGCGACTTGGAAGTCCAGTCTTTAACCTTTCTTGATTCCTTCCGTATAATGAAGGTCAAAGACTTATTATCTCTATTTGTTGAACAGATTCCCGACTTCTTTGGTAATTGCCTTTATTTTTGTTTAGACCATCGTTTATCTTTATGCAATGTTTTACATCATCTTTTCTTTTCTTGCAGATAAGATGGCAGGTCTTTCCGTGGCTGAGCAGAAGAGGTTTATGGTGGAATCAAGGGCAGCCCGGAGGACTGCAGGCGGGTCCTCCGTGATTAAGTCGGGTGCATCCAAGTTGGATACTCAGATGTCAACGAAGCATAAAGGGGTAGGCTTTAAGGCTACTTCCAGTGTGGCTGAGCCCCAAGCTTCCATCCTGGCTGTCCATGAGGAGGTGCAGCGAAGCACTCCTAAGAGGATGAAGAACTTGATGAGTGACGAAGTCTGCCGAGCTGATATGGAGATTACTTCTCTGATGGGAGAGCTCGAGAACTGTCATGATTTTAAGTAATTTAAGTTCTGGTCCAACAAATTCAACGAGCTCCATTTCTTGTATGATCATCTCAATGTTACCGAGGACGTCAATAAGGAGAAGTCCATTGGTC